TACTTTTTCACTTTTTCACCCCCTTTAAAAATGTTTATTTATTTGTTTTTTAAAATAGTGGACAAAAACTTAAACCACAGCTAAAAATCGCTGAGATAAAGCTGTCTGGTTGCCAAGGGAAAGTTCATTTTTCCTTTATACAAAATAATATAAACTCTCAGGTGTTTATTTTTTAATTGCAAATATTCAGTGAGTAGAGAAATGACTCATGCTTCATTGGCGTTAAACCCAGAATGTGGAATTCGATTTACTTCAGTTCTCTCTAGCAGTGGGAGGATAGACTTTCACAGTATTACTCTTGCCTTGATTTTTCTACTCTGATTATGAAAGGAAACATACAGTACAATTTCAACAGATGAACATGGAAGCAAAAATTCATATCTCTATTCGTTGTTATCCAATAGAAATACTGAGGGGCTTATTTAATAATACGACATCTGTTGTTGTTAACATCAGCTTGGGTTTCCGATATATTAACTGGTGGTGGGTTTTTTCTGTCAACCTGTTGACTTGCCCAACAGATAAAACTGGAACTACTCTTCAGCTTGTGTATGGTTTGTTAGTTTCCCTTTATCCTCAGACTATTATGACTAAAATAGTATTATTTCCAGGAAAACCTTCAGTTCCTGTAAAACAAAATATTTCAAGGTGAAAGTTTTGTTTTGGTTTGGTTTTTTTTTTTTAGCTGGAAGAAATATTTTGGCTACCCATGTTAAACTATAAAAGCGTTCGACAAGGAAAAAGATATCTCACAGTGCTGCATGAAAGTTTGAAATATGTCCATGTTTGTGGAAAGATGTACAAAAGAGGAATGTGACTACTGTGTGAAACTATGAATGTCTAAAAAAACCTTGCTTTGAAAAAGAAAGCAAGTCAGGGAGTTTGGAAAAGGAAATTCATGCCTGTCCTACTGGAGTTATAAGAAGTTCTATGCTGTCTAGGGAGGCAGTGTGATTCCAGAGACAAAGGAAAGTTGCAATGTGTTTAACACAAAGCCCTTTTTCCCCTGCATGGAGACTGTTTTTCTTCACTTGCCTTGCATTTGTTCCACCAAATCTCTTGTATGGGTGCCAAAAAGCAACACATCAGAATTTGGTGGTGTTTTCATTGTCTCTTTTAGACATTAATTTCCCACCAGCAAATAAAATAATATTCTGATATTTGTTTATTTTCTGCTGACAATATACCTATGTGTGTGAATGATCTTGCATTAATAAAATGTTCTGTCAATATAGTAAATAAAAAAGGCTTAATCCTTCCTGAAAGCCCATGAAATCATCTTTATAGATGGCTAGATATGCATCCCCAGTTGTCTGTAGTTATGTTTTGAACAAAAATTACTGTGAAAATTCTGTAGCTTTGATGCAAGGAATGTAGGGGTTTTGGATCTATTATCAAACTTATCAGCATTGCAGGATCTTTCAGTAATCTGTATCACTCAAATGTTAAAGAAAATAATAGGTCTCTAATGCCCAGGAGACTGGAAGAACACTTCATACACCCTGTTGTCACTATTCAAAGCATTTATATTTCCTTTCCTGCTACTCCAGAAAGAGAAATTTCCCCTTTTTCACATAACAAGATTTAAGATTTTTTTTTCCTGCATGGTACGCACAATCACACATGCACACACATGTAAAAACATCACTTTGTTTCTTGTGGTAGAATCACTGTGGTTTTTTTCTTCCTATTATTGTTTTCCATTTCATATTGCACTGTCAGTTATCTTTTTGAACCTTCCAAGAGGAAAAGCTATGTGCATCTTTATTTTAAAAATATATTTTTTCTTTAAGAATAACCTGGACTTTTTCGTGTCTCAAATATTTTTAAATCTTTTGCTCTTATATTTTCTTTTTATTTAGTTTTAAGTAAGCCATAGGAGCCCTCTCACATACTAGATCATTTAACATGCATAGATCAAGGGAAATCAACAGAGATTTTAGCCATTCCTTTAATGGGAAAGTGGTGTCTATGGTGTTCAGCCCTTCTCT